TACCCCATAAAATCATTCATTACAAAATACGAAATCTTAAGAATAAAAAATCAGCACATCCTAACGGTATCACAATCATGGAATCAAGAGGAAAGTAAAAGAAATTTAATTATACTAAGTGTATTACAGATCTGACATTAGGAGGTCCTCAACGGCCAACATTCTGGCTTTCATTCGGAAGGTGGTATGTCTTCTGTTCGGTTAGGGTCTGTTGCAGCACAAAAGATCAATCATGGTCGCAGTACTCCGCTCCATTGGGAGCTGGTATCCCGTTTATCCATATTCCTAAATGTATTCAAGAACATATATCGAAGCTATTTTTACATTTTTAATATAAATCTCAAAAGAGCGATTCATTATAAAGCATGAAACTTAAGAATTAATAATCCCCACACTTTTTCCCATCTCAAATAACTATATCCTTCCTCTTCTCTTATATATAACTATCCGTCTTCTTATTCTGATTTGGTAGTATGGATCTGCAATATATGAAAAACAGAACTGTCTTCCAAATCATCATATGTTTTTTGTCATTATACAATATGTTCTATATATATATGTATAATGAAATGTTGTTTGTCATTATACAATATGTTCCATAATATATGTTTTTGGGTAAATGGATTCGAAAATTATTAAAATTTAATTGACAATTTTTCGTTTTTTAGAAAACCTCATACATCTTTAAAATATTTGCTTTTCATTTTTTCTATCCTTTTGTAGTCGATTACAATGTTCTTTAAATATAGGGATTTATTGATGCGATAATATGGAGGGACTCTACAAGCTATTTGAATATTCATCTTTATGCCACATAAGGAGAAATTGCAACAGCTGATTTAATTGAACAACAGTAAGAGCAGATAAAAAGCAAGTATAGTAAATAACTACAGGCAAATTTATTTCCCAAAGATAATATATTACGTATACTTTATTGCTCTAACTTGTTAGATTCTACTTAAAAAGGCTGTTTCTCTAAGATCTCTGGATGATCCTGGTCCAATATAGACAATAAACGTACCAGTCAGTTGTTTTATCTACCGAAACCTGCGAAGCACTATGGTGTCAGATGTAAAGGGTCACTACGTACTAGATAGACATGTTATGAGACTGGGTCTTCTATATATTGACTTTTTTAGGGTTATGGCTCCACAAATAAGAAGAAACCTGTACTCCATCTTATGTGGCAGTATCCATAATTAACTAGGAGAAAACCTAACCTAGGAACTATGTATATATAAAGATCAAGAAAAATACAATATAATTTTCACTTAATTAATTATAAAATTTTTTTTTAAAAAAAATATTCAATGTTAATGAAGTAGTCAAAGTAAATATGTACACATATATGTATGTAATAATAATATATATATGTATGGTATATATATAGATATCATATACACATAATTTAGTATAATAAACTTAAAAATTACCTTAAAATAGTTTTGATAGAAAAATTTCTTTGATTTTCACGAAAACATATATAAATTAAAAATTACTACAAACCATAAAATTAAGTAAAATAGCTTTGATCGATGCAATGCAAGAGAATGCAACATTCTTCACTCTTCTTTAAAATAAACTGAATTCACACATGGAAAGAAACTGTGCAGTTTCAATTTCATGCTCAACTGAAAATAAATTGAAAGTATTTTCTTGTTCCACTTATGAAAATTTATTTGTTTTAATTGAAAATCAATTTCCGGAAAATTGATAGTGCATTGGCGAAGGCTGACGTTCACTAGCTGCGGCTATTATGATTCCTCTCAACCATTTGACTCATATTCTATAGCACACAAACCAAGAAAAAACAGCACAAAGAAGTGAATTGGAAAGCAGAAATTGGATTAAGAGGAGCGTTTTCTTATTAAATAATCTGAATTAGCAAAAATAAGGAAACAAGGGCATCTTATTATTCGTATTTTTGAAATCAGTCAGAAAAATTAGAAAAACAGAGACGTGCAATAAACATTTTTCAAGGTTTGAAAATGTGTTTACCTTAACTCAGTAGGAGATGTAAGAAAACTTAACAATTCGTTAGAAAATATTAAACACATTCTTCAAAAAGTTTCTTGGAAATATTTATCATAGTTTTGATATTTTCTAATATAATCTTCAAATATTCAACTCACCGGATTCAATGTGTATTTCAAAGCATATTAAAAAAAGTTGTTTTAACATTTTTTTTTCATACAGTACAAAACATGAAAACTGTACCAGAAGCAAAAAAATAAACAAAAAGTAAAATAAACAAAAACAGCTTCGCTTCTCTACACTTGTTGCACCCTTAAACGTCATCTTCAACAAAGCAGCTGCTATTGTTGCCTTGCAATATTAATGAAAGTGTCTACTGCACGCATGTACGCACGTACAGACACACTTGAATCTTAAATGGATAAGACATCAGTTACGAATCGCCGAAATACGTACCATAAATAAAGCTATGAATGACGGTCGATTGTCTGCGGGTCACTAAATAAACTCAAAATCAATAGAGAAAATCTTAATTAAGAATGCAATAAATAAAACTGTTTATTACGACATTAATAATTTTGCCGCACAATAATATAACAGTACAATCTGTGTTAATTTTTAACTATTGAATAATCTATGATAAAGAAAACTTTAGACCTCCCTCTGTTGTCTTAGAGTAAGATTGTCTTAAACAGTCTTAATTATTCCAAGAATTGTAATCCCAAATATATATGACACTAAAGGTGATCTTAAAAAATAAAATAAAAATAATAGTTTATAAAAAATTTTAACTTATTTTCATAAAAACATCAAAACTTTCTGGTAACATACCACCTTCATATCATTTTACACGTTTTTTTTTAACTACAGTGTCATCTCCTATTCTTACTACATCTCATACCCAGTCTAGCTGCCAAGTCTTAATGTCGCGAGTGTAGTTTACGCAACTTTTTGTTCTATTCAAAACAATATTCACCATTAAAGCAAATAAGACCGATGATCTTTCCATGAATTTTTCTCCCCAATACTTCTAAAGATTGCTCATCATTATCTTCAGAATCCGCATATCTACGTTAAATATGAAGATGAAGAGAATAAATGACTTGTAAAGAATTCATTGATAGAGGGTTCGGCTTCTCCACTGCTTACTAAATCTATAGTAGTACTTGGTAATGGTAGGTTGTTTCTTGATTTTGTTTCATATTTCGGAAGACTAAATAGTAATATTGTTCGACAGACACTCAAGTGAAGTCTGCTAAGCTCTAGGGTCTAGACAACTCGATGCGTGGATTATGATTCGGAGGAGAACAATTGAACACGAATTGGAGAATGCAAATTACTTTTAAAATGACCATGCCATATTTTTGCCCTTACAAAATTTGATATAAATTGTTACCAGAAACTTTGCATTAAACCTAAAAGTATGAAATCACATAGATGTTATTGATTGACTCTTATTATCAGTATATATAATGTGAATTTAAACAGTAACTAACTGTATCCCTATACTTTTTTCTGTATACATATGTTTTGACTTGTCTACTGTAGTCTATAATAGTCATTAGTCATTATCGTTTATGCATATAATTTATAAATATAGGATTGATTTATTTATTCAATTGTTTATACATGTACGACCATAACAGTATATGGAATTTACCATTTTAAAAACCCGCGTGAAACATACCACAAAAAAATGTTTTTCTGTAAGTTGCTAGTGCTGTACTATGTTACCATTTGAGATTTAGTTCATTTTTCTTTTCACAATTATACCTTTGAATGTTCTGCGGCTACACAAAGAACACTCTTTCTATGTTTTTAAAAGATGACTCACAGAATATAATCAACTTAGTACCATGTTCATCAGATATAGATCCAAGTGACTTCTTTCAATGGGTCTAAGCACATGTTACCACTTCGAGGAATACGTTTTGAGTTAATTGCAAGTATAAAAGAAAATTCCCTAAAAAATTTAAAGGCCATAAGTAAATCATAAGTAAACCATAAGTAAATCACTTACGAAAAATGGATTGGTTCTAGCGCTGAAGGAAATAATGCGGATGAGGAAGTCTTTCACTCTTACGTTATTGACGATATACTTTTTTATATATATATATGTAGATGAATAACAAGAAATTAGGTTCCCACTTACCATCATATTATTTTTAGATAATTATAAGTTAATTTCTCAGTTCATAATGTGTTAAGTTTTCCATTTGCTTTGTGATGTATAGTGTTGTATAATGTCGTCAGTATAATACAAAAACTTACTTTCTTTTTTTTAACCACAAATTTCAATCGAATTTGATTTCTGTCTGAAATTTTTATTTCAACATTCATTAAATACTTCAACATAAATCATTGGTAATTGCAATTTCAAAGTTTCTATTGTAAAAAAAATGAATGTGTGTTTGTATATTTATATTTAAACTCATATTTACAAGAATACATACATATGAACTGAAATGCTATATTTAAATGTTTTTTAAATTAAAAGCTACATTATTCACAATAAAATATGATCTGTACTGTAAAGTGCGGAAGCGGAGCATCTTTGAATGGCTACATCATTGATTCTGTTGCTATTTCTAAAAACTGATAAGTTCAAATAACCACTTGAATATTTACACTAGTCCGTAAGCGTTGCTATATTTGTTTACTTTAC